GATCACCGCCGGGCTGGTGGCCAGGCCTTCCGGGGTGGCAGTAAGGCTGGAGGAGAGGGGGTCCAGGTCTGGGGCTTCTGGGGGACTGAGGGTGTCGCTGTTAGGGTCAAGAACCAGGGGCACAGGGCCAATGACGTCTGGATCGAGATCAAAACTTGAAGACATGGGGTCGAGATCTTGGGGATCCATGGCACCGGTCCCCAAGATGGAGCCTGGAGTTCCCGCGTCAGGGTCCAGATCATCAGAGACGGGCTCTAGCTCTTCATAGCCGGGGTCCACGTCTTCAGAGACAGAGTTGAGGTCCTCCAGGTCGGGCTCTGGGTCTTCGGGGCTGGGGTCCAGGTCTTCTGAGTCTGAGCCAAGCTCTTCGTAAGCAGGCCTCGGGCCTTTGTGGCCCGGGTTCCGGACCAGCACCGAGCGCCGCATCCCAGCTGTGGAGGTGCCAGCTGCTTCCAGGGCAGGATCTGCAGGGCGAGGACAGGGTGGGCAGAGGTAGGTTCTGGGGAGCAGGGGGTCTCTTTTGGAGCCTGGGCAGGGATGGGATAGGTGGCCAAGCTGTGCCCCCAAACCCACTTCTGAGCATACACACGGATCCTTCTTGTTCTAGGCCGCAGGCAGACTTGTGACTCGCCCTAGCCGGGGCCAGAGGAGAGACCCTGGTGGGACATGCGGGGCCCCTCCCTTCTCAGCCCCACACCTGGATGGAAGTCATGGGATCTGGCACTAGAGGTCTCCAGTGCCCAACTCCAGGGCTCTGCCCCTCTCTCCATCCTGGACTCCTCCTCTGCGGGAAGCTTGGGTCCTGTAGAGAGAGAGTCCTGGGTTCCTACCCGTCGTGGGGAAGAGGGTGGGTGTCCGGGATCCTGTGCTTGCTTCTAAGTACACGGCCTGAATTCTTGTCCCATAGTCGGAGGTGGCATATTTGGGAGTTTCTGGTGGAGTGGGGGACCTCTGGCTCAAGTACTAGAGATAAAGCATCCTGAACTTAGAAGCCTGTATCTGGGGGATGAAGGGGGGGGGCAAACAACATCTGGTAGTGCTCTGGGGGTCTTGGGGGAGTGCAGGGGACCTGGCTCACTTCCTGGGGAAGAGACCGCCTGAATGCCAAGCCTCACAGTTCCGGAGCACCTGTGTTCCCGAATGCCAGTTCCTGCAGCTGGCAGGTGGGGAATAACATGTGGGGCCCGTGGGGTGGGGGGAGACCATGGAGCCCAAAGTCGGGGTACCTGTTGCCCAACTGGATAGAAGATTCTGAATTCTAACCCCTAGCTGGGGGCTGGGCAGAAATAATACCCGTGGCCCCTCTGGGTGACTGGGGGACCCCTGAGCCAACTCCCAGGAGGAGGAGACTCCCGAGTGCCCAGCGGTATGGCTGGGGTGTGGGGACGTGTGTCAGGACACTTCTGTTCCTTCGTGGAGGAAAGACCCTGAATTCCAGGCTGGCGGTAGGGAAAGGGGTGGAGAAACAACAGCAGGGACCCTGCTGGGAGCAGGGGGAGCTCGGGATGACCTGGTGGGAGGTGATGCCTTACGCTACCCACCCATGGCTGGGTATTGGGGGGACCTCTCCTGGGGAGGGAGACATCCTGGCCATAACCCAGAGCTGGGAGTGGGTAAACAAGTGGGGTGCAGAGTTCCTGGATCACCCCCTCTACCCAGAGCCCCAGGTTGGAAGGTGGGGGGACAACGCCCAGGTCCCTCCTGGGTTCCTGGATCACCTCCCGGGGAACCCCGACGCTGGGCTCCCAGCCTGGAGAGTGAGGAACAATAACGGGTCCTGCGGGAGAGGACCCGGGTCCCCTCTATGGGAAGGGCCGGCAGAACTCCCAGCCCGGCTCGGGGCGGGAGAACAATGCCTGGGCCCTGCTGGGTTTCGGGGGCAGAGGGTCCGGATCGCCTCGGGAGGAGGGGCGTCCTGAACTCCCGGCCCACAGCGGGGTGCCCCATCCTTCCCTCCCGAAGGCGCCCAGCTCGGCCGGGCC